TTTGTAACTGCACCTACATGAGAAAAAAAAAATTTTTTATTTATATGCATTAGTTGTGGCGTAATTCAAATTTTAATATGTTAGGATTTGCAATAATCAACAGGTGATCAGATATTTTTTGGAGGAAAGTGTACATCTGTATGATATCCTTTTCTAGAATGTAATGTTAAAAAGTATAATCATACATGTCAAGGTGTAAAAGTTTGTGAATACCTTAGAAAGGATCTTAAAGATAAAATTCATACAGAAGTTGACATGGATTATGATTTTATTCAAACACCTAATGAAATATTATTGGATTAAAAATTCACAGAAGCTAAGACATATATATAAGAATAATTAATTAAAATAATAATACTGTAATATTTTTCTTTACTAGAAAATACCTTGCTACAATTGCTATAAATTGTTCATTTGATAATGGAAAATGTAAAAGTCAATTTGTTTCTCAGAAAAAATCTAAAAAAATAGCTAGTAAAATAGAAGTATAGTTTATAAGTTATAACTGTTAGTGTGATAAAAGCAAAGAAGGTAATCATTATTTTAAAAGACTTAAAAATAATATTGATCTAATACTTTTAGGAAATTATTCAATAGTGAAGTTGTAAATAATTAATTTTATTACTTTTATAATAATTAATAAATAATCTTATTATTACTAATTAATTTAATATTCTAATTTTTTATTTAGTCTATACCAATTAGAAATATAACTTTATATAATGTTATTTTTTCATCTAATACAAGAAGAAAAATGTGATAAATAAATTTTTATTAAAGAATTATATATTAATAAATTATTATATATTATAATACTTATTATTTTATTTATATTTATATTAATTTAAGGATTTTTATATCGATATTTCTAAAAGTGCAATTGATTATGAAAAAGTAGTTAAACAAAATTATCAAGTTAAATTTTACAAAATTATACCATTAGATTTGAAAAATATACCATTTGCAATTCTTATATCAAGAGGTCTTCATATGCTGTTAACCCTACGCTCAACTGTTGAACTTAGGGCAACTATGACTAAATAACAAAGAGTAACGTGCAAGAAACTACTAAGTTATTATGGAATAAGTCCTATCACAATTAACCTCAGGTTTATACTTTTTAGACGAGAAAATAACTTTAACAATTTGTAAATACGATAAACACAATTGACACGTTGAAGGATTTTTAATATGTGTAGTTTAGAAAGAGATTCTTTTATTATAGAGATTTGTATCCTTAGCAATCCTTAATCTTGGATTCTAAGTCTTAAACTCGAACTATTGAGTTTTTACTGTTATCTTTGCCCTTTTACAAGGATAAGTTTTCATCCTATTTATACAAAAATACAATTATAAGAATTTACTATCTAACACTAAACTATTTTATAACACTAAGATAAACATAAATGATAAATTATAATTTAACAATAATACTAATATAATAAATAATAATAATAAAATATAAGAATAAAATAAATACAATGAAAATGTTAACTAAGTTAAAAATGCTAATGATGTTAATAATGTTTATCATTCATTAATCTTTGTGATGCAGTAGAATTGACTTTATATAGTATCAACGCATTATTCACTTCTACCAAATAATATACCTTTAAATATTATGGAAAAATTAAAGAAAATGCTTGAAATGCAAAGTGAAGAAATTGTAGATATTACAGCTCAAAATCTTATATCAAGTATGTAAATTAATTTTAGTTATTTAGTTCTAGTTAATAATAAATATTAATAAATTTTAAATTAATTTATTAAAGGTAATCTAATTAAAGCTAAATTTGGCAAAGAATTTTTGTCATAAATTCATACTTCATTAAATAATATGGATAAGTTACATAGACTTGTGGCAAAAGTTCAAAAAGCTCATCATCCTTTTAGTTAGGATATTCTTAGCCTTATATATAATATATGGAAATATAATGAAGAATATCTTGGATATGTTCAGAAATCAGATTTACATTATTTTATATTTAAAAAAAATTTTGTTATTTGTTTATTTAATTTTTAATTATCAATTTATATTTAGCCACTTTTTCAAATAGTCAAATAATGGTTATTTGTATTTCTGATGTTATGGCTCGTACTTGGATTAAATTAGAATATTTTGAAATTGATCTTTCATTTAAAAGAGTTCAAGGTAATATTAATGAGTTTGAAGTTAATAGCTATAATTCACAATATAATATGAGTAAGTAATAATTATATTTATTTTAAAATTTTGTCAAATGTAAATTTTCAAATATTAATTTATTTTTTTTAAAGGTTTAACTAATACTCAAGTCTTTACAAATATTGCTGATGCAATTTCTTATGAAAGAATGTTTAGTGCACATTTTGATTAGATATATCAGTTAACCAGAAGTAATTCACAAATTTTTCATATTCATAAAGTAGGTTGGAAATGTATTTTAAGTGATTTAGATCAAGCACAAGCAAAAGGATTAGGAATGGCTTTGCATAAAATCCATAATACTCTTACCTGGGAAGAGCATTTATTGTATATTTTCAAATGTTATCGAATTCATTATAATAGGTATTTATTTTATTTATTATATATTTGATATATATTTATTTTATATTTATTACTTAAAAACTTTATTTTATTATAGAAACGTTAAAAATAATAAATATTTATATGATATTAAAGCATTAATATATGAATTTCCTAATGCGAATAATACTGAAAGAGTTGACCAAATTTTTGAAGAATTGAAAGTATTTGATGAGCCAAATATTAAAGGTATACTTATATATTTTGATATATTAATTAAGTAATTATTTAATTAATTACTGTATATATATCTTCATTTATAAAATTCAGATTGGATCATATTCTATTCAAAATCCTGGGTGCGTGCTTCTCTAAACAAAATGTATTCATTTATGGATCCAGATATTTGGAATAAAGCTCCTGATAACACTAATGTAGCAGAATCATGTCATGCAAATTCAAACTGTGGTGGAAAATCATTATTTTTGCTATCAGCTATTTTAAAGTAAGTTAATAATAAAATTATAAAGTGTAATAGCAATGTACAAATTAATAATTCTTCTTTTTTTATTAGAGCTAAAAATTATGATGAAAGACATTTTGTTTCCTGTGAAATTAAAAACAATATGGAATTTCAAAATCTGGAAAGGACCAAGGTGTTGTAGCACGAGAAAAACAATCTTCTAAACGAAATGGTATGCATAATGTGGAATTATATTTCTTACAGTATATTTTATTTTGCTTAATTGATATAATAAATTTATTTTTTAGTTACTAAAGTTACTAAGAAACCAATCAAAAAAACAAAAACCAAGGCTCCAATAAAAGTATTACAACCTGAAGCTAAAAAAACAAAAATAATTGATTTGACAGAAGATAATATTGATTTTGAAATGGAAGAACGTCGATTATTATTAAGAGAACGGCAATTAGAAATTGAAGAACGCGAATTGAAACTTGAACGCGAAAAATTAGAATTACAAAAATTAAAGCATGATTTTAATATCACTCAATAATATTTGCGATTTGTTGAAAATTAAACTAGTAAATTTAAACAACTTGTAGTAAATTCTAAAATGTATATATCATTACAATTAAAAAATAAAGCTTTCTTGCAGCAAATTATTATAACAATATTAATACATATGGCTGTATGACGCAATGAAATGGTCAGAAATCAGAATATTTTATAAAAATGCATGAATAGAAGCGAAGAACTTTTACCATCCAATCACGGTTTTATAAAAAAAATTATTTCAATATAAATTTACCCATCCCTAAAATAATTTTATTACGATCATGTGACGCCCATTTGTTTAAAACGATAGAGCTTTTGCGGAGATTTATTGGGTACACATTATATAGGTCATATAAATTCTAACAGTCCGATTAATCAACATTACAAGACTCAGCATGGTTATCTCAGTCTGATGGTGGCCGAGTCTTATTTATTCAGTCTGCATCAAAAATTCGCATGAACACAAAAAGATCGTCGGACTGTACTCCGTAAGGTATAACCCTTCTGATTGGGATTTAGAGTATAATTTGAAACATTTATATTATATAAGCAAAAAAAAAACCAACACGGACATTAAGCATAAAGCATATGCAATGCATTATGATACAAAAACGTCAAAAAAGTTTAAACCTTATTTAGCAACCAAACTAACCAAAAAATGCAAGCATATGTCAATTATTTGCAGATCACTTAAACATCTGTCCGTAGTTCTCTTATCTAAATATTTTCACAAATAGGAATTTTGCTGAATATAGCCCCATCTGATGCACTGAAGCATGTAATGACCTTCATTAGGATTATGTTTGTCGAATAGAAATTTTTTTTATGGATAATTACGTTAAGCTTAAGAATTTTTATTAGCCACTTTGAAAGGACGATATCAACGATTTTACTTATTATATTGGTCGATTTAGTATAAGTAAATATTAAATTATTTAAGTATTTAATATAAAGAGAGAAAATTAAGACTGAGATAAAATTAATTTTCTCTTGAATAATAAAACATTGCATTATTGTTTAAAAAATATGTATAGGATTGCTTAGATCATTTGAATTCCAAAGGCGCACTAAACGTGTGGCGCAGCATATAGACTCGCTTTTAAACGACGAACAAAGCGACATAAAAAGTAAGCTTTACCCTTAAATAGGCGACATCATTACTTCAAAAAACCATTATTTTATAACAACATTTTTTTTTTGTTTAAATTTAGATCAACCAATGTAGATTGTTTCTATTTTTGGTTAGTAAAAGTTGGTGTCATCTAATGTTGTGTGACGTGCAGAATAATATAAAAAATCATTGAAAAGCAATTTTTAACCGGTCATAAGAATTTCATTTCCGCTTTTATATTTTTTTTTTTATCATATTTTCAACTCCGATTGAATTGGCATTAATGCAATATATGCTGTGCTATGTTGATTAATATTACTGCACAAAGGGTCAATTTTTTTTTTTTAAAAAAAAAATATTTAGATATATTGATTTAATAACATCGTCGTACCTGAACCCTTGATTTACTTTTTTTTTTTTGTTTATCGATAACGATAAATTCATTCAGATAATAAAATCTTTCTTTGCAACTATAAAACGGGAGTGATACCTCGACTGATATGTCCGTTAATTTCCGGAATTCTATATTTGGATTTTGATTAAAGGCAATGTGGAGAAAAGTTGATTTCAACCTAAAAATATTAATATTTATACCGAGATCATCTTTTTTCTCTCTCTCTCTCCCATTGCACTAAAAACAATTTATGCACAAATTAAAAAAAGATTTTTGAATACTTTAATTAATTATATTTCTGGAAAAAAAAAAAGAAGCCTAATTTTACTTGTTCCACTTAGAACATATATTCATACACAAGATCTGTATATACTTCAACTTCATAATAGTCTATTAATCACTAACAATAACGTATAAATAAATGGCAACTTTCACTTTTTCCCCCTTTCTTCTCAAGGGTCCACACCTTTACGAAACGAACATAGAAACGAAAGAGGGCTCTTTTTTTTTTAAAAAAAAAAAAAAAAAAAATTGTTTATTTTATCATTAGACCGTACAAACCATTTTTCCATAAGTTAATTTTTTAAATATGAAAGTAATTAAATTTATATTGCTTTTATGCACGCTTTTGGCCAAAGACATTTCATCTTCTGGTCTTGTAACGGCTTTGCCCCATCCCACTTCTGCTTCTCCTGTTTCTCTAGGTTTATTATATGGTCGAGCAGATACGGACGTAACTGAAGGAAAAATTGGAGGCGAATGGAAAATAGTTGGAAATTCGGGTGTTGAAGCTATGCACATCGCTGTTGTTTCCCATAATGAAATAGTGATTATTGATAAAGTTGAAGCGAATCCCATCAAGCAAGCAAATGGTAATCCGGCGATTTCGACTTTATATAATATTGAAACTAATGAATACCGAATTCTCAACCTGGATTCTGATACATTTTGTACGGCGGGTTCATGGTTTAGTAACGGAACGCTCCTTCACGCGGGTGGAGCCGAGAACCAATTCGGATATAATGAAGGTTATCAGAGCATAAGATTTTTCACGCCCGGTGATGGTGCGGATTGGTCCGAAATCCCAGGAGGAATGACCTCACGCAGATGGTACCCAGCCATGGCCACTCTTCCAAGTGGAGACGTGCTGGTTTTTGGAGGTGCATATAAGGGAACAGGAAAAAATAATGCCGGAATTAATAACCCAACATATGAAATTTGGCCCGCAGCAGGAGGAGTGCCCGAAAAAGCTTTTGATATGCCCTTTTTAACAGAAACATTGCCATATAATCTTTACGCATTTTTGCATGTTATGCCAAATAATGAGGGAAAACAAATTGCATTCGTATTCGTGAATAAGCAGGGCATTCTTTATGACTTTGATACCGCTACCATCTTGAAAAGATTACCGGAAATGCCAGGTGGACATCGATCTTACCCATTAACCGGCAACTCGGTTTTATTACCACTTAACCCACCATATTATAAACCTATCGTTATGATTTGCGGAGGTAATACTGAGATGGAAATTGAAACACTGTCCGAAGCGTCATGTGGTAGAATTGATCCAACCGAAGATAATCCTCAATGGGAAATGGACGATTTCGGTGGTGTTGGTCGTGTGATGCCAGATTCTGTTATTATGCCAACTGGAAAAATCTTATATTTAAATGGAGCCGGAGCAGGTTTCGCTGGATATCATCGTGGTCCAAATACTAATCCACTTTATGTTGCCATTAAACCGGTATTGGCTCCCTCAGTTTATGATCCTGAAACGAAAGAATGGTCTCGATTTGCTCCATCAACAATTCCAAGAATGTATCACTCTGTTGCCACTTTAGTATCCGATGGAAGAATCTTCGTAGCCGGTAGCAATCCACAGGGTGATGTTTATACTGAATCTGAATTCCCCACCGAGTAAGTAATTTTTGATATTTTTATTCTTCCTTTACATCACGTATTTATGTTATGATTTTTGTTAATTTTCCCTCCCTTTTTAACTTCTTCTTTTACGCAGATATCGTGTTGAAATGTTCTCACCACCATACTTGTTGACTGGATTAGTACGTCCAAAGATCACCAGCGTTGGAGAATATACAGAACTAAACACTCAACGAATTCCAGTATCATATGGACTAAATGTTGAGGTTACAGTTATATCAGGGCAAGATGTTCCAAATTTCAAAGCAGTCGTAATTCATCATGGATTTGTTACACATTCAAACCATTTCTCACAAAGATTTGTTTCGTGTAATATTATGTCTGCAAAATACCTTAAAAAACGGGACACCTCAATACTATTAACTGTTGAAATGCCACCATATTCGTCCATACTTCCTCCAGGTCCAAGTTACCTCTACATTCTTGATAATGAGGTTCCAGCTGATGCTGCCGTTGAACTCTTACTTAACTAAACAATGCAAACAAATACTATGAACTTCTTAATTAAATAATTCCCTTTTGTCTATGATCAAATTCATTAATACTCTTTATGAATCTATAATTATTAGAAAGCTTTACTGGTATTCTTTCGATAATTTGTAATATATATTATTTTTTGGGGGGGGTAAAAAAAATTAAACTTCTAAACAATTATGTGGCTATGTTATTATTTGCAAAAAAAACAAAGCCCCTTGAGAAATTTGTCATATGTGCCACACACAAAAACACAAAAAAAAAACCAAACATATAAATACGGTATAAATAAAAAGATATTTTACCAAAATGTAAAGAGAATTAGCACATCTGTGCAGATCTTCCTGCTTTTAGAGGAACCTTCATAATAAAAGTCTACGTTTACTACTTCAACATAATTTAGTATTATGTAAATGGCAGGTGATAATCCGGAACATATCGGCCGATCATTCAATTAGCTGCGGAGATAAGAAATACGTTCCGATATCAATTTCCTAATATTTTATTCCTTTTATGGTGCGACTTGATGATTGGCAAAATATTTTGATAAATTTTTTTGAATGAAAATATTTCTAGGCCGGGGGTTTTTTTTTTATTTTATTTTTAGAAACAAACACTAATGAGTAAACAAAAAAGAAAGATTAGTAAATTGGTTGTATAAGAGATTTCTTAATTTGTTAACCGCTTTACAATCAATCTGATTACAAAGACTAAACTTTATTAATCCATTACATTTGACAACAATGGTTAAATAAAGTTTCGATTATTGTTATTTAAATATGAAAACTTTGAGGACGAAAAAAAAAAAAAAATTCAGGCATGGGAAATTTTCACGAACCGGATGAGAGTAATGAGTTTTTTTCCATGCTTCAAAATTCCCTTGTCTCATGTCCTATTTGATTAAACGTTTCCCGGCATCAATTTTTTTTAACTTAAATCATTTCATTTAAGTAAGCCAAAAGGATGTTTTTATCCTTTTTTTTTTTTTTTGAGGTGATTCAAAATAATAAATAATCTTGCATCTGGCAATTTAAATGGTATAAATAAATAAGAGTATGTAATTTATAACACAGTTGATTCGTTTATTAAATTTAGTTAACGGAACTAAGGATAGGTTATTGGAACTTATTAATTCACATGATATTTAGGTTCGCTTTTTAATTATTTTCGAAGCATATAATAGGTATTATTAAATTTGGTTAGCACGATCAACACTTAAATGACGAACGAACATTTGTTTATAAATATTTGCGATTTACACATGTACCACGTCTCAGACGAAAAAAAAAACTATGGATCCTGAAATTCAATATGCGAGTTTTTAATGACTTTTATTAAAAAAATGCATCATTTCGTTAATAATTATGGTTTATTATTATTATGATAAAATATCATCAAAGTTGACATTCACGACACAAATAACCATAAAGAAAAATTAAAAAAAAAAGCTTTATATGACGGATGCACCAACTATGATGCAGAACAAATCCGAAATGTCTTTTCAATCAAGGCAGAAACTCAGTCCAAGGTAATTATGGGTTAGCAGGAGATCTATCCCGTACTAAGTGATGGTATTAAAGGTTGGAAGTACGCCTACGTTGATAACGAGAATAGACCGACCTATAATCGGGAGATTTTCCTATCCAAAGAGGCAAAGTTTACCACAAGCCCGATATCTTGAAGTTCGAGCGAAAATCACCATTAGCGTTAGAAGTTACGAGATGTTTGGCTATTTAAGTGAAAGGTTTCTAATGTTCTTTCTTAGTGATGGTGCTTCTGAAATAGCAAATTTAGTTAGTAAAATTTACAATGCTCAAGTAGAAAATAAATATACTCAGATGATCCGAAATCCTTGCTACGTTCGTTTTATCCGAAAAGTATAAGGTTTACGTGATCATTCTTTGTTCTCGGTATTGTTGTATTCAGTACTTTCGTTTATGTATTTATAAACAAAATTTAATGTGAGCAAAAGGTTTTTATTGAGTCAAAATGAAGTAATGTTGACGCTAAATTTACATACAAAATTATGGAGTTTCCTGGAGAAATTATATTCAATGTAACAGTATTCATGTAATATATTCGCGTAAATTTTTTACGGTTCAAATTATAAATTTAAAAACTTTTTGAAAATGTTCATTTTCTCTCATTTTTCTTTTTTAACTTTTTCTTTACGGAATTTCTTAAAAAACTTTATATCCCTACATTGATAAATTGGATCGTTGAAATGTAATAAAAATAAAGTATTTCGAAGCAAATTATATGTGGACTTATTTAAGGATTTGTTGAAATATTTTTTTTCAATCAATTAAAAAGGAATTATTAATAAATGGATAAATATAATGCCACCAACTTACTACATGTAGAGGATTTTTGTATATAATACATAGAATACTGTGCCATAAAAAAAATCACATAATACAATCGTGAAATTAATGATCTTTCACGAAAAATATGACATTAAACTAATCTATAAAAATTCTAGAATTGCTAAATTATTTTATACGTTATTTCAAACTTTTTGTAAATTAAAAAATTTTTATATTACCCTATTCTGAACAATCACTTTTTGGCTATTAAAATCACCAAATATCTTTAAAGTTGTTATAAGGTGTTTGATTTATTATGAAAGCAACTTTGATTAAACAGGAAATTTTATTATTTATAAAAAATTAACCTAGTATGGATGCTTTATCCATGAATTACAAATTCATTTGAAACTCGATTATAGCGATCGTTGTTTTGGTATATCCTGAAAACATCACAATTTGGTTGAAAATTAGACGATCGGAAAATAATTTCAACCTAAATCATAAATAAATTTTTTTGGTTATTCCTATATTTTTTTGAGAAAATTAGTCATGGAATTTGTTTTATGCTGTCAATTCTGGAAGATTACACGTGATAACCATTATATTACATTACATTTATTTAGGGAATAGAATTCTTTTATTAGTCAGTTGAAATTGGTGAGTTGAATATTATATTTATTAGGAGGAAAATACTGTATAGCAAATAAATAAAAATTTGAGCTTTTTTTTACCTTTTAGAATACCATTATCAATTATAATTTTGAATTTTTAAGCAAATAACCCAGAAGTTTTTAATTTCACATTATTACATACGAAAAATTATTGAAAAATAATCATGTCAAATGCACCTATGTTATCGATGTTATTTGCTGATGATAATTTTCGATTCTTTACTTTAGCAGTTTTAGCCAAGTCTTTAAAAGGCTATCCATGCAAATGTTTATATGATGTGCTTTCTATCCAAAATCATTCATAATTCCATTAAGTGTTCCGCGACCAAGAGTTGTTGTCCGGTTAAAATTAAACGCGTTTGTAATGTTAAAGTTAAAAATTGAAATCTAAAACGAAATTAACCTTTCCCATATATTTTCTTTTATTTTAAAATCTTTGTTAATACGTGTTATCTTGATTATTCCAGAAATAAATCTGTTGGTCTAATTTAAATTAGTCTTTATTAATGTTCCTTTAAAAGGAAACGGTTAAACAGTATTTATACAAAAGCTGTTTTTCTTGGGGTTGTTTTTGTGCGGGGCTATTTTTATAACAACGGAAACGTCCTTCGTTTAGTTAATGCTCCCTTATTCTTGCTTCCTTCATGAGAAAATGAATTCTTTTGCCGATCATTTCCAACATAGAAAATTCGTGTAAATCGTATTTGGATGGATGAAGTTTCAATAAAATTTAAAGATTATTTAAAACAACATTGTCAATAACAAATGCTTTAATTCACTAAAAAAAAATTGTTTGAAGCTCGAAATGAACCAATTTGAGTGTGCAAATCAAAAGCGAACGTATGGGATTTGTCATTTTATCTATTAAAAAAAGACCAATCCTATTTAGGCTAGTTTAACATTTGATTCAAATATAATTTCGCCCCGTTAAAACCAATTATTTAAAAATTCATATTTTTTTTTTTATAAATTTCTTTTCTTTAAAGAAATAGAAATGCAATATTTAATAAATGATAAAGTATCAATTAATTCTCTAAACAAAAGGAAATGAAAAAGTTTTCCTCACACCACTTTTTCTTGGCGGTAAAGAAGTTTACGATACTACGTACACCACCTCTCCAAGACCTAAAACAAAAGGAAACGAAGGAAACGTTGCTAAAGTTCATATTCGTAAAGCTAACAAAAAAGCCTGTTTATTCTAGCCGACGTCAGAACTTGAAGAATTTAAATATTAAGATAAATTTTTAAAATTTATCAAAAAAAAAAAAGCCCTCCTCCGAAGCTTCACACAGATAAAAAAACAAGTTTCTTTGGGGAGGTGTAAAAATCCTTTGACGGTATCTTAACTTCTGCGCGGTAACAGCGCCGTGCTGTATTTTATCCTATATTCAATGTAAATTAATGTAAATTTTGCTGCAATAATCATTGTCGTCAATATTGTCAAATGAACGATTCTTAAGACTCTGGACTAAATTAAAACAACTTTTTATAGAAATAACTTCATATTCTCAGATGTGAAAAGACACCACGTATCGCTAATGATCATAAGACTTCTAGAATTTATGTGACACATTATTTACGTCACGGCTTATTAACAATTGAAATGTAATAAATGTAAATAGAATCACATGAATGCGAGATTTTCTTGCTATTGCATGTGATGGTGATCGTTACGTAATATCCAAATTTAAATTTGAAACGTTTTCAAGAAAAAGAAATTTATTTTTTTTTTATTTATCAAAAAAAAATAATTTAGAAATGGTTTCTGAATTTTTTCCTGGGTTATCTCAAAGTTATTCTCAAATGCTTGATGATTCCGATGATTATAATATTATTATCAAAGTTGGAGAAAATCCCAATACAAAAGAGTTTCACGCACATTCTAATATCTTGAAAACTCGTTCCCCTTATTTTAAAAGAGCTCTTTCACAGTATTCGGATACAGAGGAAAATGATATGACCATCTTTACTATAGCAAACATTTCTCCAAATGTTTTTGAAATGATTATTAGGTATTACTGCATTTTTCTCATATAATCATGTCATGAATAACTTTAATTTGGAATCACGAATTGAAAATGAGGAACTATTTATTTTTGATTAGGTTTATGTATATTGGAATTATTGATTTGAGCAAAAAAGTTGGTTCATTTATACTTGAACTTCTTGTAGCGTCCGAAGAATTGCTTATTGAAGAGTTGATTACATTTGTACAAAAGTATTTGATTGAAAATCAAGCAAAATGGTTGCATCAAAATTTCGTCAAAGTTCTACACACAGTTTTTCAATTAGAGAGTTGTAAAATACTTCAAAATTATTGTTTAGAAACGATTTTTTATGATCCCGAACCTTTTTTCAATTCTCCAACATTAGAAAAATGTATTTTACTTGAATTAATTAAAAGAGAAGATTTACAAATGGAGGAAATTGAAATATGGAATTACCTTATTAAATGGGAAATTAATCAAACTCCCGAATTGAGAGATAAAAGCATTACTGATTTATCTAATTGGAATAAAAAGGACATCTTGGCTTTAAAGGATACTCTGAACCAATTTATCATGTATATCCGATTCCTCGAAATATCTTCAAAAGATTTTCATAGTATTATTTGGCCTTTTAAGAAAGTGTTACCTCAAGCACTCTTTGAAGATATTGTTTCATTTCATATGTCTAATACTGAGCCCAAGCAAAATAAATTAATTCCTCGTAAACCAAAACATGCGGCTATCATCGTTAACTGGATTCAAAGAAAAGATTCTAATGCGGGAATTTTAACGGATTGTAAATATAATCTTAATCTTATTTATCGTAGAAGCAGAGATGGCTATGGTTTATATAATATACGTAGAATTTGTGATAGACAAGGTGCTTGTATTTTGATTATTAAAACCAAAGAAAATGAAACCATAATAGGTGGATATAATCCTATTGGTTGGAGTTACAATCAATATTATGAAGATTATGAAGATTATGATAATTATGATAATTATGATAATTATATTGATGAGTATTATAATACTGGTTATAATTATGAAACTGGTGAAGGATGTTATTGGAATGCTACTAGTGAAAGTTTTATTTTTTCTTTAGGCGATGGAAAAGATTTATCAAGTATTATTATTAGTCGAGTTACAAATAGTAATAATGCAATATATGAATCGAGTTTTATACCCTTAAATTTTGGTAATAGTGATTTGGTAATCAAAAATGATTTTGGCACATGTAATCAAGCCCAATATGAAAGTAATATTTTAGATAATGATAATTTTACTATTGAGGAAATGGAGATTTTTAGTTTCAATAAATCATGAATAGTTATTTTATTTTTATTATTATATTTAGTAAAGATTAAATTTAGCAAAGCGTTTGTTACTTTATAAAAAATTTAAGTGCATTGGTAATAAACGAAGAATTTGTTAATTTTTAAGAGTTAATATATGCTAAAATTATGTAAATTTGTAACTTCAAAATTAAGCCGTTATAGCAAATAATCGAAATCATCTCGATAAAATATAAATATTCATCTCATTGAAACGGGTATGAAAGAACGATTATTAAAAAATTGGTTCAAATTTATTAAATCTTGCTAAATTTATTTTTAGAGGTCTCGGACAATTTTTTAAAATGTTTTGTGAATGATTTTGAAGTCAAAATCAAATAATTTATTGTTAATAATAACATTGATATTAATGATAATTATAATTATCGTGCTCACCAGTATGATGTAGACGATCTTGTTTTTTAATATTTTTTGTAATTCACAAATAAACTACAAATTAAACTTTTTGTATCGATAATAAACTATATAATAATATATATTAAGCTAGTAAATTATTAGCGTTAGAATTATTAAAAATAATTATAGAATTAATAAAAACTTTATCGGCAGTCATTTTTGAAACTAATTCTTCTAATCCTTGCGGATGATTTTGTTGATCTTGAATTTTATTTAATTCTTGAAGTGGTTGCCGAAATAAATCTTTATCATTAGAATTATTTGTTGCATTATCAATAATTGTACTTTTATCTATTTTTTTTAAAAAATAAATTAATAATTCTTAATTTAATAATAATAAAAAATATATATAATATGAAATTTACCATTAATAAATGACTTTGCTAATGTTAATCTACCTTGCATTGTCGTAGGATAGTTTGAAGATAATAAGGGATTTGAAGTCGATAAAGAATTTGTTGATGCTATTTATATAATAATAATAGAATTAATATTTTAATAATTTTAGAAGAATAAAATATATTATACATACTTGTTTCATTATCATTAACTGCGGTTTTAAACAGTGTTGTGAAGTGATATGAAATGACACAAATGACATTTGAAATTATGTCATGTGACTTGTAATTCCGGTCAGAATTGATTAATTTTATACATATTAGTACTATTTATCATAAAATGTAAAAATCCTTTATTTAACCAAAATTTATCACTGAACAATATAAATTGGAGCTTCTAAAGCCTCATTAAACAAACCAAGTAAATTCCATTTAGCTAATGGATTATCTGCTGGATGAATATCATGCCCGCCTGCCTCAAAATTATTAGTTTCTTCAACTAACATTCATTATTATTTAAATTGTTTTAACCATTACAATCCAATTTTCAACCATTTTAGTCCATTGTTCAGGATTAAGAACATTATTATTAGTTTCTTCAATAGTATTATCATTAATGTCTTGATATTATAATAATAAAATTAGTAAATAAATAAATATTAAATAATGAATAAAATATCATACGAAATGGCTGTAACGGCCTTTTTTCATGAAAAAATCGTATAAAATCATACAAAACGGCCGTAACGGCCTTTTTTTCATAATAAAATTGTATATACAATGTTTATTTTACCTGTTTCAGATTCTTCAGTATCACCATTATTAAAAGCATAATTTCGATATTTAATTTTTTTTTAATTACTGTAATATTTAAATTCAGAAATGTCGATCTAAAACTTCATACAGTACATTTATATACAGTATATTAAAGATCACAAAATATATGGTCTATAACGAAAGATTTTAAATATATATATAATAAAGGATTTTACAGCATAATTTTATATTAATTTTTTTTTAAAGAATGAATTTCGAATTTACTCAAGTTTTAAACTCTTCAAAATCATATATAGTCATAATTATTTAGTTTTCTTCTAATCCTCCACTAATTTCTCTTTATTTTTTATTAAACTTCTAATACTTCTTTTTTCTGAAATTGCTAGAAGATAGTTTTTTAATACTCTCTTTCTGCCTTTCCAATAACTGTTCTGTACTAAATTTAAGAAAAATATTAAGAAAAAGAGTCTCAATAAGGATAAACAGCTCCCTTTTTAGGTTAAAACTGAGTAACTAAAATTGATTTTCATCTGAAATTAGAATTCAGATAATTTTTGGATGTCTGGAATTAATTTCAATATCAGTTAATTGGAAGTTTGCGACATTTATTTATTAAATATTTATGTATTTATCTTTTCTTAAATTTTTGATTCTTCTTTTTGTTCATTAAAGACGTTCTAGGTTTGTATTTTTTTCTTACATATTTCATTTATTTTTTTCTTTTCTTTTTATTTTTTACTTTTTATTATTTTATTTCTTCTATTTTTTTAGGATTTTTGATCACAATCGGCTGTTATTTTTTTTTTACTTTATATTTTAAATTTATTTAACAAAATATACATTTTGGTTGATAAGAAATAATATTGACCAATATAAAAAAGATAAGTAAATTGACTTAAAAGGAAAATTGTATTTATATTACCACTGATCATTGCCTTGTAATATATAAAAAAGGAAAGATTTTCAAAAATCTTGATGCTATTTTTAAGAAAACATTATTACTATTTACATTTCTGTATTCATTATACTATTTCAGTATTTCGTTATACTGTTTCTGTATACTGTTTTACTGTAATGTTTTAATGAAACAGAGTTCTTTATATATCAAAAAAAAATATCCATATTTTTTTTACAAAATTTTATATTTCTAGTCTAGCCTTTAAAAAATTAAAATCAGTTTATATAATATAAATTATTAGATATTATACATCAGACATGTTGCATGTTGATCATTGCAAATGACATTTATATAGATATTATTTATTTGATTGACAAAATTTTATATGCTTTTTGACTTTACGTATAAGCTAACTGTGCGACATTACTAACGTTTTTGAATTTCTATCTTACATAAAATATTCGCTCAATTCTCAAAAACATTTTTATAAATTTAAAAGTTAAATGGTTTGGTAGTTCTAAGAAGATCTCTTCAAACAAGTTTTCTATTATATGCTGATTTTTAATATGTGAAAGTATTATAAACAATTTTATATAAAAAATATGTTGTTGTTTTGACTCAAGATATTAATTTTAATATGATAAATTTTTTGATTTTAAAAACTTTTTTTTATTAATTAAAAAAAAAATAATACTAAACGAAAAATTTTTTCTACAAGTATTTTATATTTTATTAGTATAAAAGAATATTTAAATTTTTTTCAATAATATATAATTTTAAATTAACAAAATATATTATTTTCTTATTATTTAATAATCTTTCTTATTTTTACATTTTATATTATTATTATCTATTTAGCTCAATAGTGAAGAACATAAATTACTTATCTTAATAAAAGTTATTATTTTAGTCAAGTTGTATTTAAATTTAAGTATTTATTAAAAACTTCTCACTATAAAATTTTTATAATATAAAAATTCATTTTTTTATTTAAAAAATCTATTTTTTAGTCTGAAGCGAAGCGAAGGACTATATATGTCTATGCGAGGTAATACAGAAATATTCTGATATCTGCCCGTTCACAGATTGAGTTGATGCTGATTAGTTTATCACGTTACTCATAGAATTCTGTATTCCTCTAAAAGAAGCAATCGTCTATGCACTTTTTAACCCTAATGTTTTATTGATCTGGATTTTGCGATTTTGTTATTATGTCGAAAAATAAAAAAAAAACTTTTTTTGTTCTTTATTTTATTATTTTTTTTCTTTAGTTTTTTCTTAGTTCTTCTTTAGCCAAAATGAATAAAAATTGAATTTGTGTATAATGAAATATAAAAAAAAATTTTTGTATAACTAAAATAAACCTTTATTATTATCATTCGTGAGGTATCATAGAAAGCAAGTACACTTCTTCTTTTTTTCTTTCTTGTAACTTTTTACAGTTCTTGATACGATAAATCCTGTTGAGTGTGAACTGTTTAAAACATATATCGTTAAGTAACTTAACTCATAATACTATAACAAATGAAAGACCTGCGGTAAATTGTTTGTTTTCAAGGTCTATTTTTGCCTTTGTTATTGTTAGTCCCTGATTCTTATATACTGTAATAACCCATGTGAGGCATATAGATACCTAAAGCTGAGAACACGCTGTACCATTTTTATATTTCCAGATACATTTTACTGATATGATCGATACAATTTATTTTTTTTCTAAAGTTGTGATAATAGCTCCTTCATATATATCAAATCTTATGAAAATTGCACTGAAAGTGAAGGTGGCTCATGTTTCCAAACAAAATATCTTCAATTGTTCCCATTGCTCCATTTATTAATCTGGCTTCAGTCTATAAATTTACTGTTAACATAATATGTGATCCTTTTGCCAATAACAGTTCAGCTTTGAGTCCCTTTACAATGTCTGAGTTAGCTCTTTAGCCTTACGTCCACCAGTGTGTACTGCATGTATCTTAGCTACTGGCTGATTTAACAATCAGAGCATCTCTATATTAATTCTGTCTATGTTAGTCCACGTGGTTAGAATTGAAATGAAGTCTAAAAATCAATCCTGTTCTGAGTGACTGAGATTTTCTTTGAACTAGATGTCAAGTCTCTGTTAATCATTGAAGCTGCTGTCTCCTTCATATAATCTTATAAGTATGTTTTGAAAGCTCTGTTGCTCTTCAGTTTCGCCTAATTGATGTTATATGATGTCAAATTTATATACCTCTCTGAATTGTTTGTATGCTATTATTCCATCATTAGATCTTGTATCATGCAATACGTTACTAGCATACATCAAAGGGTCAAAAACTGATAGAAGCTGCTCAAAATCTCTGAACAGTATGATAAATCGTCTACTAAATGCTTCATTTTTATTTTCAGGAAATACTTCTCTTAACTATACGTTAATTAAAGCAAGCATTCAACGTCCAACTATGCTTTTCTCATCTATAATAAGATAAATCACATTTTGTAATCATTCTTATAGTTATTTCAGCCAGCTGCTATCTAACTCGAAGTTTTTATTGTTGTTGAGTATAGGTATAAATAATATTGAGTAAATTGTCACTCTGTTTATATTAAATGCTGTGACTCCTGTGGATGCGATCACCTATACCAGCATTTTTGCTTTATTCTCTGCCATAATATTAAGTCACTTCCTTATTATCCTGATAGTAAGACTTTTTCATTCCTGAAGTATCCATAATTATCATTCTCAATGCTTCTACCTGATTGCCCATGAATATGCTATTATAATGTGATTCAATTCGATTAAATATTATCCTTTGATTTTCATTTAGGGTATTAAAATTGGATAAATCATGATCATTTCCTCTGCCTCTGCTTATTCCGTTTATTGACACTTATCACACGAATTTGCTGACTATTGAAATGTCATTATGAGAATAATTCTGTTGAGTATCATTAATCCAGTCATAATTTTGGTCTATATCATGTGTTCTGAGGTCAAACTGGCTATTGATTTTACGTTTAGGCCTATCTTCGCAAGATACATCCAGTTATATCTATACTCTTTATAATCGTCTTCTTCTGTCATCTCATCTTGACTGTCATTATCACTGAATTCTAGTTCTTTATCTATGTGATTGCTAAGCAGATCATTTGGTTCATGATCTATCATATCGCTGTATTGCCAAAAATTGTGAACCATAGGATGGTACCATTCCATTTAATTCTTGTATACTTTAATGCCAAACGTGAAGTAATACCTTTATTCTGCAGAAATGATCCCACTGGTCTCTATCACAAATTAATGATGGTCGTGACTATATTCTAACAATATTTTCTTTCTTGCATTTCTTCTAATTTCTGTTAACAAATTTGTGTGTTAGGTATAACCTAAAAAGAGAAAATCCTTCAAGCTTTTC